GTAGTAAAACAAAAGTCATTTGAAGAGCAAATTTTTTTTTTTTTTTTTAAACATTAATTCCAAGAATGCCTTTTACATATTTTTTTTAATTATATATGTGATGTGCTTCTCATTATTACCTTCTGAGAATTTTGTACAATTCATCCCTCTTATTTTTTTTTCAGCTCACCTAAACCAACCGTGTTCATCTCTGGTGTCATAGCAAGGGTAAGATTACCATTAAATTTCTTTTTACCATAGAAATATGATTGTTGGCTTTTCGGAATAATCACTGATCAGAGCAAAATTAATCTTTTTCCATTCCCCTCTTCTTTTATGAGAAAAAGTCTTTATGTTTTGTGTATTTGTTTATGTCCCTTTGAGCATTCTTTTCAGCTTTTTTGTGTGTGTGAAATTGAAATTATTTATTGAAAAGGCTTCTGCCATTTTTCTTTGAATTTTAGCACTTAAAGCTTATTTGATCTTCTTTTCATATCTAAGCTAGATATTACAGCATTGATTTTTATTTGAAAGCAGTTGCATTTAAATCTGCTCTATAGAGTGATCTGTAACAGCACTTCTGGCAGTGATGGTATGTGTTTGAAGGCATCACGCTGCCATGTGTGCCTTGGGGTACATAGAATTGCAACAACAAGCAAGACTTGGAAATCCGTAAGCTAAATCACTAATATTAACTGTTAATTTTCAGATCAGTAATTCCTTCCTTGTGCATTGTGACGGGCCTTTAGTCATGATTGTTATCACTGGGGTGCATAATATGGTTCACCTGTCTGCTCATAAGTTGTAGAAGGAGTTGTTTTTACATAATCTGTCTGCAGCAACAGGGTACAAGGTGCCAGAGAAATATGTAAGAGACAAACATCAGCATCAAAGAGCAAGAAGGTAGAAAGTGTCAAGTCTGACAAGAAGAGATGTTTGAAAATTAGAAACAGCTTGAAGTAGTCTACAAACTGAAAAACATGTTAAGTGCTAACCTGGTGATCAAGATTTTAAAGAAAAAAAATGCTGTCAGAATGGAATGGAGGAAGTTGAAGTAGGTTGAGGTGGGATCAGGTGAGAAACAAGCAGTCTGAGGCATCTGCTTTGTACAAAATCTCTGTAACATTGCCACCCTCTGAACAAGTGGAATACAGGCTCTTCTGCCTTGTGTCTGTCCCAGCTTCTAAGCAGGAATGTTGTGGTGCTGTTCTCTGTCATCAAGGACTGGTAGTAGTTGTTTCCCACTGCTACTTGAAAAAATCAAACAGTACTAACCCTAGAAAAGATATTCTAAGTCGGTTATAGGTATTACATGTGAACTGATACTCTAGAACAGTATCAACAGATTAGCAGACCTTGTTACAAGAGGAAGTTAAAAGGTAGGCAGCTTGAAGATTTGAGTCAGAGTAGATAGTGCCTTTCTTCCTGCAGAACTAGTGTTACTGCAGTTGGTTTTTCTCTGCAGGTAGATTTTCAGGCTGCCTCAAATTATTTGTAAAATAGTTCCTTTGTTTTATGGCTTTGTGAAAACAAATAAATCAAGTAAATCTGACTATACAGAGCCATTGGCAGTGACTTGACACAAGGGGCTATTCAGTGGTGAAGATATAAAGTTCATTTTTTTTCCCCTTGAGTCACTCTAAGATACTGCATTCTTAGGTGCTGTGCATAACTGGAAGAAGTTAGATTTGTGCAAATGAAGTACTGAAGTTGTCCACAAGAAGGGCAAGATAATACATGTTTGGCAGGACTTCAGAGGAATATGCAGCACTGTTATTTCATATTCTCTTCACGCTTTAAAAACCTTGTATCCACTTGAACTAGAACGTACTTAATACTTCTTAAACTTTTCCCAATGTGTTTTTCAAACAGGGCGATAAGGACTTCCCTCCAGCAGCTGCTCAGGTGGCTCATCAGAAACCACATCCTTCAGTGGAAAAGCTTCCTCACCCTCAACATGTCAAACAGCACATCCACCAACCTCGCAAGTGAGCTCACCACAAAAATCTCAGCCAAACTGCCGTCAGTGAATAAAGTTCTTGACCCTTCATGGTTCACACAATCAGACCAATAATACTGACTTCTAAAATCTTACCCTTAACTTTAATTCCCAAGGGTTAGGAAGAACAAAACCGTTATTGAGTTGATGCACCAAATGGAAAGTTTTCCCTTTTCTATTAAGTATTTGCTGATGAGGGGTGGTTTTTTGATAAGACTGTCTGGTTGACAAGATGAAAATTATGATTAGTGAGCTTAAAACTTGTGCTTTTAGTTGTGGCATTGCAATAGCCAATAGTTAATGTAGTTTTTATGCTAAACCAGTAAAGAACATCCCTTTTGTACTGGTACTTTTGTTATATGGGAGTTTGTTGTGTTGAGACAAATTAGTGATTGTCTTGAATACAGTCTTGCAGTCTTCAGTACCCTGAGATGTTAGATCACAAGTGGACAGAAATCCAGCTGAATCTTTTTTACACCCCTTTGCATTCCTAGTCTTGATGCAGTTCTTTTGTGCAAGCTCTGTGTGGGTGCAAAGAAGCAGTCAAGAGTTACAAGCATGCTGCTGCTGTGACCTCACAGGCCTGGTTTATTTTTTGTTTTTGTTTTTTTTTTTCTTGAGGTGATGATTTCTCAAATCCAGCAACAAGTTGAAGGAATTCAGGACCTTCAAGAACTGAACTTAAACTGGAGGAAAATCTGTTTTCTTTTTTAAATTACACTATTACTGTGTTTAACCTCATGAGCTAAGCTCTGTTATGCATCTTTTTTAAAAATTATTATTAATGAAGGGAGTAAAAGTTACTTTTCAGGCAGAGCAATCGGATTAGGTTAGGCCACATAGTTAAATATGTCAATTACACAGTTTGAAATTAAAAAAAAAAAAAAAAAAAAAAAAGCACAAGCTCTAGCCAATTCTTTCTTCATCTCTATAAAACCCAGGAAGGTCATTTTTAAACATTCCACCTACATTATAAAAATGTACTTCTGTTTTTAACTGACTAGTACAGGTTTTAATGCCCTGTTGAGTTTATAAGACTTCTAGCAGTCTCAAAAAAGTGAGTACAGGAGCAAAACACTGAAATACAGCCCATGTCACAAGTGGAATAACATGTGTCGCATGTGTGAAAGGGACCTGGTATGGCCATCTGTATTAGGCTTGAAATGCAAAGGGTGTATTACAAAAGACAGGCATGGATGCATTTATTGTGCACCAAGGAAGGGGACCTATGATTTGTGTATGAAGTCCTTATTTACAGTTTAATTAGATAACTGTACTTGCCTTAAGGAGCGAGTGTTGTTTATAAGAATTAGTCTGCATTAGAATATGCATTTTTTATGAAATACTTTTTTTTGTTCGTGATGTCGGTACTTCTGAGGCCTTGTTCTTAGCTGCTCATGAGTGTACACGTGATTCACACGAGTGATTTATCCTTGAAGGTAGAACTGTTGAACCTCATGGAACATATTTATGAGCTAAATCACCAGCAGATTCAGAACAGAGAGACTACAGTCTCATGGACAGTGCAGCCAGTAGTTGTCAGTGTGCTGCATCAGCCCATTAGCTGGTGGTCATGGTCACTTGATGCTGGTAGCTGCTGGTTTAAGAATGGTGGCATTCAGCTCTCCTGTTTTTATGTCTACATCTGAAGTAGCATGTAGACTCTAACTGTAGTCAAAACAGTTAATAGAGCACGTTTCAAGACAACCTGAATTGCTCTTGACTCCATTCATTGACTGTAGAGGAAAACTAAAAATACTTCAGAATAGTTGCACACCATTTGGTGGGCTTGGACAGCTCTATTCGGCGTGTTTCTACCTTACAAGCAACACCACATTTCCAGCTTTTGAGTTAGAAAGAACTCTTGGCTGTTAATGCAATATATACAGCATTTATAGACAGTATCAGAAATTTGTCTTTGATTGCTTAGATGGGTATATAAGTTTGTACAATGAAATGAGATTCTCAAGATATCTTTAGTCACTTTTAGACTGCGGGATTCGCTATATGACTAGAAAATGTCTCTGTAAGAAAGCATATTATGTATGGTTGGAAGATATCTATATTCATGCATAGCTGTCCTTACCAATGCATTATCTTGCTGAAAATAAAGAATCATAATCAGTCATCTGGATTGTCTGATGATATTAATACTTTTAAGTATAATCACAGTCACATACAAGCACAGCCTATGTTCAAATGTTGCATGAAACAATTGCAAAAGAATTGTCCTGAAATTGTCAATGTGGCAGTAACACAGCAATAAAGCTTAAGATTGTATATTGGGTTAATTTTTCTGTAAGTAGAAAACAAACCAGCAGGGGAGCTTCAGTGGGATTTTATTACAGAATGCCACACTTTATAGGTAGTGAAAATTATTAGGGAAATTTATGACATGGTGATAAAATTTTTGGGGTTCTGTCAATTGGAAGGTGAGTTGCTATGAAGTCAGAGAGCTCCACTAGGTCTAAGTGAAAATATAGAATCCAAATCAGTACAGTAAGGGAAATGAGATTTTCACATTTACTGCTGTCTTTCAGAAAAGAAAATTTTGTAACCGAATTGACAAGCACCTCATGGCACAACAGGTAGCACTGCGTAACGCAGGCGATTCGCAGAAAACTTGAAATAAATGACCACAGGGCTTTGGGAAGCTCTCTCATACTTTTAGCATTCCATGTTCAGTGTATGTAATAAACACACATGATGCCTCAGTAAATACAACAGATTACTGCCCTGCAAGTGTTGCTTTGTTTCATCCTTACCCTCAGCAGTCATGTGACAATGCACTACGTTATTCAAAAACTGTTATCTTTCATCAAAACTTTGAGAAAATGCATGAATGCAATGCCTGACATTGTCTGCCCATAGCTGTTTCAAGCCCTGTCTTCTGCAGTGTAATGCTCTAATGGTATAACGTGGTGAAAAGTACAGCAATAACAGCAGAGTGGCAGAATCCTAGGCTACAGCAAACATGAACAAATCCAAACATACACAGAAACAAAAAAGAAAAACAGCTTACCTTTGGAAAGCCTCTAGTAGGCAGGGATCTCCAGTGAGAGACTTCTGCCTCAGCTGCCATTTAAGCTGCCCTTAAATGAGGTCTGGGAAGGGTTAGACCCTGGCTCCACCCTTTCTGGTCATTAAGCACATTGCATGCAGCTGAGCTCCTCTGAGTTGTCCATGCCTTCCCAACCAGGTGCTCAATCACTGGTTCAGGCTATGACTTAGCATTTCTGCTCCATGCAGTTATTACTAATTAGTTTATTTACTTCTCCTTTCAACAGTGTGATTTTTCTGTTTCTCACTGGATGGCCTGAAACAGAAGTCTTGTGCTTTTAGTTGTGGTACAATGATCACCACATGCTGCTGGCTTTTCAGTGAAAATATTCAGATCAGTCTGTTTCATACAAAGGTGAGGGGGGTGGTTTGGACGTAGTGTTAGAATAACACATTCAGAATATTCACCATCTTCAAAGAGGAGGAAGGTTATGGGTATTGTCAACAACTTCTAGTGTCCTCTTCAGATTTCAGTATAGCAAATTTCAAATGAGATGTAAGTCTAGGCCAATGCCCTTTAGGATTAGGGTATGTTCATTGCATTTGTGAAAATGCGGGGATGTCCATAACAGCACATAACTGTTACAGCAGGAATAGATGTTGCAGGCTAGATGCTCCAATTATGTAAAGAAGAGCATTTCAGTTTGAGTTCAAGTTCTGTGCACGCAAACTTCCTCCCTTACAAGAGAAAGACGCTGAAATGTGGTTTATGCACAAGGGGGTCATAGCCAACATTGTCTGTAAAAGAGGAATCCATGTTGCGTTGCCTGGAGGAGGCTAGAAGAAAAAGGCTAGAAGAAAAGAGAATGAATCAGGTCTACAGTGATAAGCCATCATCAGACCTCCTCAACAGAAGGGGTAAAATAATACACGTTGTCGCTACAGTCTTGGTAAGTGTGGGTGTATTTGTATAACATGTAATTATTACCAGTGTTTAACTTGAAATCCTAATGATTTTTTTTTCTCTCTCGAAATTTCTTTGTCACACCTCTGGCACATACAAGTTCTGCCTTGGGAAGATGGAAGTTTGTATTTTGTTTGTTACTGTGTTCTTGGGTCTCCTTCAAGAACTTGTGTTTGTTGGTTTTCCTTATCATGCGTCAGAAAAAACAGTATTCACAGAATGTCTCTTTCTTTGAGTCTTTTTCATAAAATCTTAGCACACGTATTTACACAGGAAACCTCCAGGGAGAGATGGAACGCATTGTATTTTACAAAGCACTCCGTGAATGAAGACTGAGTTTTGTTACAAAGACTGTTCCCTTTTCTTTCAGGCTGCCGATCTCAGGTGCCAAGAGGAATACCAATTTCTGAGAACATACTGCTTGGAGCTGGCAGGCATGCATGGATGCTGGCAATTCTTTTTGAAAATGTGCTCCTTACCCGGCCAGGTTGGGACAACTCTCAAACACAAACAGTAAGCCCGTTGCAAGCATAAATCTTGCAAGTGACCTTGAAAGGACTCTTGCAATGTAATCTCTGCTGCCCAGCTTGTGATGGAGTTATTTTTAGAAAATTCTGGTGGCCTGCATTCTATAGGTCATTCCTCAGCTTCAGGAAAGAAAAGCATTTGTAATCCACAGTGGTTTTAAGGATAGTAAAAATTGTTCAGCTGTTAATGAGCTGTGAGCTTTCTCCAGCCGGTAGTGAGGACACGTGTATTACCTTGGTTACGTTCTCAGCTTGTGCCTAAAGCTAGTTCATTAAGGTGGATTTTGTCCTCCAGTCTGTCTGACACACGGCGTGTTGTGAAAGTGGGTAAAATAACATGGAGCCATTTTTCATACAGACTGTCTCAGTGTCAGCAAGTGCCTGTTGCTGTGTTCAGAAGGACAGTGAGGTCACTTTCATACAAAGGAACAAATGCTTTGGAAAGCATCGCAGCTGATATGGCTTCAGGTCTAGCAGTGGATTTGGAGGCGTTCTATGAAACAGCCCTTAGAAGATCATTGGAGAAAAGAAACTGAGTATCACCTTTCAGAACCAGTACTGGTCATCATCTGTCAGAGCTCAGTGCACTCAGTTTGCACTGCTTTAATTTTAGAGGGCACAGTTCATTGATGTGTTAATCTACACGGCCTTGAATCTTTTTGCATGGGAGAACTTTGGATGAAGAAAATCTACGAATGCAAAACAAATAAATTCTCTCTGCTGCAAAAGCCAGCACTGGGTGCATTTGTATATTGGCTGTGGAATTGAGACTTACTTCAGTTGAAGGGAGATCTAGTTAATATTCTAGTATATGTGTGTACCTACAATGAAAGACAGTAGTCAGTTTTAGAAACGAAGATCTCATGTTTTATTCATCCAAGGAGCATTAAGCAATGTGAGATCAGATTTCTTGGAACACATAGTTGGGATGAACACTTTTAACATCCTTTTTGCAGGTATCTTTTCACTGCTTTAAATGTGAATTGCTAATTAAAAAAAAAAAAAAGACATTGGAAGCTGATTCCTTACGTAATTCCTGTTCTCTGCATAAAATATAAGGAAGATCCAATGCAAGAATTCTTTTCCAGGGCCTGATTTATCAACCAGAACAGAATAAACATCAGCCCACTTCTGATGTGACAGCTGTGACAGCTGGAGGTGCCGGGTACGGAAGGCTGAAACCTTAAACAAGCCTTTCAGTTCAGCTTATTATGAGGACATTTGTTAAGCACACAGCCTTGCTTTTCACTGTGCCAATAGCTCCTAAAACGCACATGCTGGAAACTTAAGCTTTGTAGTACAAGCAGTGTACTTCACATACTAATAGCTGATTCACCATTAGCCAATTGTTTCCAAGATAAATATTTATGGCAAGTTTAGAGCGTGATCTGACCGTTCATTGTGATTCGTAATATTCCTCTCTCCTGGATTTACACATTTAGTTGTTTGCGGAATGCAGCCCTTTCCCAGCTGCCATTCTGCACAGTATGTTTTGTTTTGTTTTGTTCTTTGGTGGTCAGCGCTTTCTGACAGGTGTGACTTTGTTCAAGGGGAGAGGAGTGAAAGCCACAATCCTCTGCCAGCCTCCGGAGCTGCAAACTTAAGAACAGCATCTAAGCAGATCCTTCCTGAGAGACTGATTTCACTTCTGAGCCGAACCAATCCTGGGGGACGGGCAGGCTGCAGTGCGTGACACATGGGCCTGCCCCATCCATGGGCAGTTCTCAGGGCCAGGCCATCACTCTGGCATCTTGGGCGGGAGCCTCTGGCAAGGGCAGAAGTGGTGAAAAGGAGCCTTCAGGTGTGGGGTGTTGGTGATGGCCAGCGGCGCCAGCCCTGAGCACAGAGGCTGTCGAGGCTTTGTGCGTGCAGCTGACAGGAGAGGAGGACACAAGTGCTTGGCTCCAGACCTCAGCCTGTGGGTTGCACACCTCACAGAATCATAGAATTGCTCAGGTTGGAAAAGACCTTCAAGATCATCAAGTCCAACCGCAACCCAACCATACCACCCTAACTCTAACAACTCTCTGCAAGTTCATGTCCCTGAGCACCACATCCAAATGGTGACTCTGTCTTCTGGTGATGTTTGTGAATGACCATAAGTAAAAGCACGTGTGTCCCTCAATAGGTAGCACTGGCAGCCTGCATGCCTTCTTACGGCATGACATTGGGGTATGGAATGGGATTTTAAGGGACCTGAATTCCTAGCCCATTTCAGAGGAAGCTTTTGCTGTCTTTCATGAAAGCTGATTGCTTACCAGTAAAATGCGCACAGTTATAAAAATTTAATAGAATTTGCCTGTGAAAACAGATGTGGAAATGCCTTTAAATAGCTCCATGCCCTGACAGCATCCCAGCATTTGCTGCCTAACTCAATAGGTGTTTTCTCAAGGGAAAAATGCCTGTATAATTAACGCTAGCAGAAACACTTTGCAAGTCATCCTAGGAAAGGTGTGAGCAGCTCCTAAGTGGCTGTGCAAAGACCTTGCTCCAGAAGTGTGGGTGCAGCTCAGTGGGAAAGAAGTGCAGCTTCCCCTCCTTTCCAACATGGTGTGCTTTGTGATTTTGTCTTGCAATTGTGAGCAGTGCCACCAGCACCTTGAGAGAAGAGTTTTGTGGGCTGCCTGAAATACCATTTCTGAAAGAAAAGAGAGACTCTTCATGCATCCCAGAGGTGTTGACTGTGAAAGCCAAAGCATCGCTAAAATTGAAGCTGAAGGGAAAGGTAAGAAATAATCAAAACAAAATCTCCGGCTCCAATTCTAACTGCAACATTTATATTTTCATTTAATTAAATAAGTCCAAATAAACCCAATGAGAAGATGCTGTGTTTCCTCTGGCTTGTGACAGATGGCTGGCCTGTCCCCAGGGCCGAGCTCACTGCCTTCTTCCTCATCCTCACTAGTGACTATCTCACACTGCACAGGAAGTTTGCTCAGCCCCATCCAAGCACCGCCTGCCTCAGCTGTGCTTACGAAAAACCTCACAGGAGCTGAGGCGAGATGATGCTTGAATATTACATGGCTCCTACAAAGTGATTTTAACCAGACTAGGAGTGAAATATCAGCTCTTGTCCTAAAGCATGTATTGGTGAATGTTTACAGCACCTTGTATTTGTTTCACAAGCCTTATCGCTGGATAGTTGGATTAGTTTTGATACCTGTGGCAAGGTAGACCTCTTGCTGCAGTGGAGGAGGGGCCTTCGGACTGTGAGAGAAGGCAATGCTGCTTGCTTCTGCTCCGCCTTTGGCCTATAAATATGAAGGCTGTGGGGGTGAGTGCAAATCCACAATTGCACAAGAACAGTCAAAGTTCATGTCCATACACTAATAACTCTGGTGGGAAATAATCACTGTTAAATTAGGATTTGGCTTCATCTCACGTGCTGCTGCAGCTGGATTGCTGCCTCCATCTTTCCCCTCTTGTCTCCGTGCATTCTGTCATTCTTCCCCTGATTCACTTAAATCCCTTTTAAGTGTCATCTCTGATGTGTCTTCTTGGCTGGCACGTGGCTTTCAGCAGAGTCTAGCTAATGGGAAATGGCAGCACAGGGATTTAACGGCATTTGGACTGCGGTGACCTGCCT